TATTCTGCACGCATGATTGTTCTGCCTGTGTTCAAATTTATAAAGTAGTATTCGTGTATGAACTTCTGATTTCCTGAATACACTACGATTTCATTCAGCAATTTTATAGTGGTATTTTACTTCTGCTGTGGGGAAGATTCCTCACTTCAAAAGCTTAACCGTAACCAGAAGGAAGATAATAAAGTGATATTTTAACCTCATGATATTGGTTGGCAGTTGTAGATTCCAGTACTGTGGGCTACTGAACAAGAAGTCAAAGAAAGGGACTAACTGTCCTATAGTAACTGTCAAACACTTTTAAATGGAAGTCACTTTTAGGCGTTCTTTGTTAATTGTAGTACATTTTAAAGCTAATTAAAGAAGTCTTTTTAATTCCATGCTTTAAAAATTTCAGTCAAAGTAAAATAGCACATAAGCTCAAATATGCATTTCATATTTCTAACCAAATAATTTACTTAGCATTGCGATAAAACATTGTTAAGTTCTCAGGAGCAATTAAACTTTTCAACATACATTTAAATTCATTTCTAGTTTGATGCTTTATTTAGGGATTATAGGGAGAATTAAAGTGAGATAATCAGATTATATCAGTCCAGCTAAGTGATACAACAGGATTTCATCATGAGCTGACAGTGGTTAGAGAACCATTGGAAAGCCGGGGAGTACTGGACAGCTGTTTCGTCCTGGTCCGGGACTCTTCACCGGTACGCAACCACCAACAGGGTTCGAACCCAGGATCTCCTGGTTACAAGGCGAGCTCGTTGACCATTAAGCCACTGAGATCTGATCTAATGGCCAGCACATGAATTCCGACTTTGTTAATTATTACCTAAAATAGTTTTTAAGTAAAATTATTGCCTCAGATTCTTTCTTGTTCATTTCTCTGTTGAAATATTTTATCAACAGTCAGCGGTTATGGGGTAAATATTTTATGTCGACATACTCCTTACGTGTCTGTATGGATCCTTTCAAAAAACACTGCTACATGAAAGTGAGGTACATATTTTGTCTTTTGATTTCCAGTGGTTTTACGGTTTGTTTCAAGATTGTGATAAAGCAAAGCATTGATGTAGTTGAGGGGATTGTTAAAAACAATACAAGATAAAATAATGCAAATAAGAGAGATGAATACAGTTATGCTAACAGTAAATGAACTAGGATGTGTAACGCAAATACAAAGTGGAAGTCAATCTTTCATAATGTAGTGAAAAATACATGAATGGTTTATAATAGTTTTGGTGACGTAACAGAGAAGATGAATCACAGTTCCTAACTAATTATGGATAGTTATCAGTACAGTAATGATTTTGGAACTTTGGTGTAATTGAATCACTGAACTTCTCCTCGTCATTATAGTTGTATGATTCGGTGATAAGGAGAGAAAAACACATTTTTTAAAGACTACTACTGAAAGTAAAAGAAAATTGATTTAATTTCGACTTACTTTTGATGTTGTTCATTGAAAACTCCGTAATACAGTTGATTAAATATTAAGAGTTTAGTTTCAACTAAGTAATACTTCATATGATAAAAGTTTCATTACTTTGATTGGATACTAAGTGATCACTAATGTCATGCATCTACGCCTTCATTCATTTAATGCATACTGAATTTCATTAGTCGAGTTCACAATGTGGTTACTGTGCTGGGTGACTAGCCATCATAGTGCACTGTGACCTGTCGTTAGCTGTTTGGGGGCTATCAGCAGGATGTCTTTGACCTAGGTCTGCACTGAACGAAGGACTAGACATGTGAGATTATTGCCTACATAGTTCCAATCGAAGTACCTATCATATTTCCGTAGGAGGTCAGTCATGGGTCCGAGCAGCTGAGTGGCGATATCATTGATTTTAGTACTGGATGACTCTTGTTCAAATCTCAGAAGTAGCATGACTTTCTTCAAGATTTCATTAGATGAAATAACTGATCAATTCTATGAATAAGGCTATCTGACACTGCCTTTGTGTATCTAACTGATTATCTACGAAATGTGTCTGATAAAGACTGGAGTTGAAAGAAATTATGTTTTAGCTTTCTATTTCCCTGGATTACTATATATATAGTTCTTTATAGCGTTATTTTTTGAACAGCCAACAGTTTATCATTCTTTAATGCTTACACTATCAGTAAAAAAGTCAATATTATAATGGCCAATAGTTTTAAAATCTCAAGTTAGAAACTTCTAAATTTTTAAATTATTGTTATCACTTTCACTTGAAGGTTCATCATAAATGTTTGTAACATTTACGGTCAAGATTTCATTTATTAGGTGAAAGGAAAAATACCGAGTACCATTTATATATTTAAATAACCTTTTTGAATTCATTTTGTGAATTTATTTTATTTCATATGATTCCTTTAGCTGCATGTAACCTGAATGATAAAAGATATAAGTTATCATCGGGATATGATTTTTAGCCTGCTCATATTGCTCATATAATATCATAACCCTGATATGATTATGGACAATAAATTGTGCTCAAAGCATCAGCAGCAAATATTACTGTATAACACTGTGAGACTTTATCAAAATAAATTTTACTCATAATGGAATTGTACTTGTAAAGTGCTTTGCCTAATGATCGCATTATAATCAAATTTTATATATTGATCTAGTGTGCTGTACTAGCTAAGCACTGAGCTATGGTACTGTCAAACGAAGCTGAACCTTCGCACTCAAAAGAAATTTGTCCTACCCCTTTCTCTTCTATGGTCTAGGTAGACTTAATCAGAAAATTCGAACTTCTCAATATTTTTCAATTCTTCACCCCCTTCATATTCTTATCATGTTATGTTTACTCAAACCATTTCAGAATGTGTCCGAAAATCGTAGTAGAAATTCGTCTCCTTCTCTCTTTCATATGCACTTGCTTCCTCATGTACATATGAATCCTTAAGCTCGTTCACATTTACCGAGAAGTGGTTTAGTTCGATATAATTTATTGAACACACTATTTTTATTTAGAATAATCGATTTGACGACGAAAGCATGTTCAGTACAATAAATACTACCGATTCATAAGTGAATTACCAACGCACGCAAGACTAGACATGTACCAACAGACAAGAAGTGTAGGTCAAGTAGATTATTTTACTTAGTGAATAAGAAATATCATCATAATTTTCACAGAAATGTTTCAGAAGTAAACAAAATTAATATTCCAATTTTACAATCAGCATTTGGGATTTTCATATAGCCGATTGATTCCCTTTATTAGTTTGAATAAAGAAAAAGCGAGGACATATTTTCAGGATATTACGAGATCGTTTTATTTTGTGGATTCTCTTCAACTGAGCACGTCCTACACAAAATCAGTTATCACTTTCAAAATTTCTGAACCTACTTTTCACAATGAACTCGAATCATAGGTAGAAAGTGTAGGCAATAAACTTCCGAAGATAATGTAAGTAGATGAATTACTCAGTGTTAAAAGAGTAGCTATTTATTGAATATTTAGACAGGAGGGGTCGAGTTCAGATTTCGCTTGGAAACAAGTATGGAATAGAGACGAAACACAAGATAGAGGAACTCAGTGAATTCATACATATTATGATGGAGAGTTCAGGAGTGTGTGTGTTGGTGGGGTTGAATTGTGAAGTGAAATTATCAAATAGATGAAATAATTTAATTCAGTAGATTTGGAACCTTAATAGTGAGTTGGTATCAGTGAGTGAAGATGAAAATCAAGACTGAATGTAATGTTATGCAACCGGACAAAATACAAAAGCTCATGAACAAAACAATTTTTGATTTTACAAGAAGTTCCTTACTGGAAGAATTTATTTCTGGGCATTGTGATTCAGTACTTTGTTTGAGAGTCTAATTATTGTGAATAATATTTTAAAATGTATCAAGATAACTATGCATAACAGTCAATGGAAATTGTTAAGAGTTATTAAATATCCTCTGAATTGCCTCAACTTCCGGTAGTAATAAAACCAATGTGACAGTACTTATAGTTAGATGTAGAAAGACTGCACAATCACTGTAGCATTATTTCCTAGTGAGATAATTATTATGTATATGTATGTAAAGTTGCATTGTAAACTGGGTTATAACAGTTCTCCTTGAATGAAAAAGAAATCATCCACATAATTTCTTTTCTGTTGAGTAAAATGCATAGTTGCAAATGTGATAAACTGACAGAAGCAAACTGATAAAAACAAACAAACAGTTAAGCCATTCTAGTTTACATTTAATTAGATTATATGTAAGTATTGACCACTACAAGCCATCTTCATTAAGTTTAGTGTCAGAATTTATTAGACATCGTTAGCCTTTCGGAAACAATATAACAGTTTCACACCATAGCGGAGCTGTAGCTGTTTTTTTTCCTTCACGTTACTCAGTGGAACATAGGGCTTCAAGCTAGTGGCTTGAAGTTTCTATAGCAGTGTTTATTTTTACAGGATGGGGTTGCTAGCCTCATGCCCAACCTTTCCTCTTCACCAGCATTATTTCTGGCATAGTAAGGTAAAGGAGTGCGTCAGCCGGGGGTCGAACCCCGGACCATGTGCATGGTTGGCGAGCGTCCTAACCGCTATGCCACCGACGCTGTAGATGTTAGTTCATTAAAACGACTAATAGCAAGACTTGTTTTCAAATAAAGTTGGTTTGTTTCCAAATCTCTTAATTTTGTTAAATGCACTACACAGGTAAACAATATTACTAATTACTTAGTAACCTTACAAATACAGTTTATTTCCTCATGAAAATTTTACAATGAAGCGTCACTAATTGTAAACGTGTACATGCTGTTGCACTATTTAAGTAATAGTGTTATTTTAGAAAAAGATTCCTCAGTTTCTCCGCGACATTATTCCCATTTTCATTTAAATGTAAGTGTGGGCTTATGCTTACAGAGTCATCCAAGTTAGTGGCAAAATCAGGTGGTTTGATGTATGAATTTAAGCATTTGGCGATGTTAAACTGGTTACTGAGTTTCAAGATAACTTTGAAAACTTAATTAAAATATAATTTTGCTTTTTATTTTGTTTAGCCACCCATCGTTGTATTGAACGTTTCAGTGATAGAAGCTAAAAACCTCGAGGCAAAAGATTTAAATGGTAAGTGTACTAGACGTTTTCTGTTGAGCTTTAAGGCAGCTGGCCAACTGAGATAACAGTTTTTTGTTTTCATCTTTGAAGCGAACTCCAAATTATGCGAATCTCTGCATTCGGATTTAGATTCAATCAATATTTCTTTGTGAAAGCCTAAAGTTTGCAGATCAAAGTGAATTGTATTAAGTTATAGTTTTTACCAGTTTTAAAAATTTCATGGTTCACTTTCACAATTTATGGTCCCTGTTTTCATAAAATAACAATAATAATCATTATTATATCTCAAGAATTAAGGTTCAGAAATATTACTGGCCAAAAGACAAATAACAAAAAAAAGCAGAACTCATTTAAGTTTACAAAGTGTGTATTCATGTGAAGTTAACCAGGTCATCGGAAGGAATTAAGCTTTCATTTTATGGTTACAATTATTGTTTTTCTGTTTAAGGATATTAGACAATACAGATTGTTGAAGGTGAATAGTTTGATTTCAGTCTTTACCAAAAGTTTGTAAATCTCAATTGATGCAGGGAAGAAACTATGCAAACAGGTGCTAGTTGCAGTATTTTCTGAAAACTTGAATTAAGGAGATCTGATAAATGAGGGTTAAAATAAAAATATATTTTAAATCGGTCGCACAGGCTCACCAAATGAGTCTGGAGTTTCGACCGTTAGGTTATTAAGCGATTACAAATGACATACTTCAGTAAGGGATAGCATAATTTATTCAGGAAATAAACATAAGTATGTATTACTGCCATTATGCGTACACAATGTATATACATTTTCTAGTTTGACCATAGATCGATATCAGTTAGAGAACCATTAAAAACCAACAGGAAGTGCTGGATGGCTGTTTCGCCCTAGTTTTTGACTCATCGGTAGTACGCATCCACTGGGGTTCGAACCCAGCACCTGCAGGTTACAGGACGTAGTTCCTGAAGTTCTAGTGAGAAGTCGTGACCAGTGAGGTACATTCAGTTGGGAGTGAGGATAGACCTCCCGCCGATGACATTGGTTGTTGGTCGCGCTAAAATCACGAATTGGTAGAAGTTGGAATTCATGGGCTGGTCATTGAATCGGATCCCAGTGACCGAATGGTATACGAGCTTGCACCGACCCGGATTCGAAACCCAGTGGGCGCCTACTAACCATGTGTTACAAACTAGGACGAAACACCTGTCCAGTACTCCCTGGTTTTCAGTGGTTCTCTAACTGATGTCGATTCGTGGTCAGACTTGGAAAACTAATCAAGTCCTTCCAAATAAACTCTTGAACATACACATAATACGTGTATGTTGCAAAGCCCATTGTAGATATGATAGAAAGGATTAGTAGCTTAAGTGGATGATATTGATGTGGTTGTGCTCTCTGATCAGATCATCCAGCTGAGAGAACACAACTGTGCCAACAAAGTTTATTGTCTTTTTAAAGTTATAAATTTTATTTGTTTACACTGTTCAGCACCTTTGCTATGTTGTGCAAAGTAGATTTCATTATAAACTCTCATTATTTAGAGAAATGTTGAAATGGGGAGGTTGTCACATACACCTGTTTCGCAATATACAGTGGAGTGTGTCTACAGACACACAAAGAACGAAATGTTGTGCTCTAAAATTTTGGTTGCACATTTCAGCACAAAATATTAAAACAAATATTACCACATTGCTCAGAGAGTAGGATTAGCAAAGCAGCAAAACCTAGCCAAGTTGATAAATGATTAGCTATGTGAATGTGTCTACCTGTATTTAATTTAGTAGTATAACTTCAGCAATGCGCAGTATTAAGTAATGTTAGTATTCCTTAGAGAATATTTGTAAAAACTAAAAGCTATAATGCTGTTTATTACAATGTTAGACAAGTAATATAAAACTATTCTGATAAAGGCACATAACTCAGAGTCTTCTTTTTCACTGTATTAATGTCGTTGAATATACATATATATTGTCCTTTTTATGACTATCATTAAGAGATAAGAATGATAGACCCAGATATTCAAATGGTAATTATTCAAACTGAAAAATAGAATTTTAGTATTCACTAACTGGAATATTTTAATGTAAGATTAGTTAGGAGACTAATTTCCATATTTAATTTCTTCTTTAAAAATTTCAACAATTACTACTTAAAAAATGAAGAATATATATTTCTGTAAGTTGAAGAAGGATTACAATAACTGAACTGAAAGAAAAGTAGAAGATAATAAGGGATTTTGTTTTTATACAAACGGGATGAATTATTGTAATACCAGTGTTTGTATGAAAAGAGCTGTATCACTGCATAATAATACAACTGCTTATATAGTAAAGATAACAAAGAGAATGAGAGACTTCCTATTCATAAACGAATCGGGCATGTGTATAATTAGTTAATTAGATAAATGAAGTATAAACAAAAGAAGACTTATAAACGAACTTGATTAGTTTCAATTAGAGTTTCTTCAGGCTTCGCTCTAATTTACATAGCTTTATATATGTATATAGTATCAAGTAATGACGGTGAATTTTCCGGTCAGTGACAGATGTTAAAGGGTGTCAATATACTAAACATAACAGTCATAATAATAATAATACCAATGATAACAACAATATAAGCACTTGACGCAGATGGGAAAAAGAATAATGAAAATAGCCTGATAATGGAAAAAAATTCACTAATTGAATTAGGTCGGAATCTTATTGTTTTATAAGTTACGCAATGCCAAGTGTAAAATGAATAGACAATTGAATTTTGGATAAATATGACATGATAAGTGTGTAAAAGTGGTGGAGAAATGGAAGGCAGTGTCAGGAGTTTTGATTAGTTTATTAAGTTTATCTAGACCATGGAGGAAAAATAAGGTGGAACAAAATTCTTTTGAATTCAAGGACTAGAGCTATTCCAACTAATTCCCATAGCTTCAGCTATATGTAGAATAGTTAGAATTCCGTTCAGAATATTAGATGGAATACGAAAAACACCTATGAAAACCTTCCACTTAGTGAACAAGACCAGTCAAATGAGATAAAACGCAGTGCTTAGCCGAGAAAAGTCGCATTTGTAGTCTTTCACAGACCTTTATGACCTTTAACCGACCATTCAGGGGGCTAAATGGCAATGTTTTTGTCAAGTTGGAAATATCTTTTCACCATACAGCTTTCTCTATAGAAAAGAAGAAAAACAAGGAGAGCTCTAAAAATGAGTTCGTTAGTAGTCCTGAGGTGTGTTCATACTTGATGGCAGGGCAAGATTTACTGCACTGCCAGTTACTAAGCTTGCAAACATTTAATCAGCGAGAAGTATTAATATTTTTGAGAAAACCTAAGGAAAAGACACTACGATAGTCAAAGATTACTGTTGTGATATTCCAGTGACATCGTAAGTCAGCTATATCCCATACTCACTTCATGCTTTAATTTTTGTTTGCACTTCACGCTGCAGTTACTTTTGTCACGCTGCTGTTTACATTTCAAATTTTATATTTTTCATTCAAATACATTATCTGTTGAATAAAACTAATCTTCATGTTTCTATGGTTTTAGGAAGGTAATTACTGTTGTTTAAAATATGTTCTTGACTGAATAAGCCGAAAATCTCTAGCCCGTTGAATTATGATAATTTTTCTGCTTTCATGAAATCAAAATCAAAACATGGTATTGTTTCACATGTCATCTACCTACTTTTTTGCCAACAGAGTCATAAAATCGGAAAACTTTTGCTTTTAATCTACACTTTGACAAAGCACTGTTAGCATTCTGTGTCCCTTAAAAAACAGTCTTGTTTTGATTTTCACTTATTTAAAAAAACTCAAGCTAGAAGATAATGTTTATTCCATTTATCGTTAATAATATTTGACGCAATAGGAGACTTAAAGCTATACAGTTCAGTGTAATTTATTGCTAATATAACGCAGAGTGGTAATTAAGTAATGAATTTAGCAAAATGATGATTTTGAGAAAATTTTACAAACGCAGACCTATAAGAAAATCCAGTCAAAATTACAGCATTTACAGATAATGACTTCTTAAATTTATGCACTCATTAAAAATTGTAGCTTCTATCCTTTATATGTGAATACAGCAATTTAAACAAAGGCAAGAATTTCTACACTCAATTCCTTTTATTAATTTGAAAAAGGAAAAAACGGAGGTATTTACTGAGTAGAAAGTGGTCATTATAATTAGTGACTGCCAGCAGTCTAAAAATGACTTACATTATTATAAGCAAGTGTAAATATACAACACCACTCAAAATTACTTCAACTAGAGAGGTATTTAATAATTCTTTAGACAGCAATAAAACAAGAGGAATAAACATAGGACACTTAGTGTCGACAGCTAAAAGGACAGTGTAAGGATAGTGTAAAATTAGTCGCAAGGATAAGGCTGCAATCTTTTGATAACAATGGCTCTAGTTGGAGGAATTTCGAAAAATGTTATATTTTCTTACTAATATGTAACAGTGTGTGACTTTTTGATTGTTGGTAGTTGGAGAAAAACTGTGAAATACCACAGTCTGCTTTATCTTGGGTTCTATATTCATCGCCAATCGATAGCGATTAATGATAAGTTTCCAAGTGCTGGTTTTTGGCAACTTGACTGATTCCTGGAGTTCTAGTGATAAGTCATGATCCCCACTGTCCATAGAAATGGGTAAGAGGACATATACTTGCTGACAAATTTGGTTGATGGTGGCGCTTGATACTGAGAGTCGACAAAATTTAAAACTTATGGGATATTAGAACGCATACCAGTGGCTGAGTATTAATGTGATTGTAATTTCAAATTCTAACCCTCAGGGAGTGTGTACTACTGAAGTATCCCGAAGTGAGATAAAATGGCTATTTGAATTTCTATAGTTCTCTACCTGATATTCATCAATCTTTAGGTATAACTTAAAATCATTCAAGTCCATTCAAACCAACACTTGAGAATTTTTTATGTTAATACAAAGCTGAAATTTGCCCACTTGTTGTGTAGTTTAAAGAAGATATTGTGAAAAGTTTTTAAGAATGGTTTTGTGTCTTTTCCGTTGTCTTATTTCATTCTAAGGTATGCGTATACTTTTATTTTTCAAATAGGATTTAGTGATCCATATTGTATTTTGGGAATCGTATTCGGTCGTTATTTTGGACAAAACGAAAAGTCAACCGTTTCAGATGCTTCTGTCAATAGTTCAACCACGATGACAGGTCAGAATGATACAGATAATATACACGCATCGAGTTCCATTCCTGTATCAGGGAGAAAGGGAATAGATAATAGTCATATGACACTTTCCCGTTCATCTTTCCGACGTTTCGGTCGGTCATTTCGTAAGCATACAAATATGAGTGATAAGGGACAAAATGTTCACAGTGATTTGCAAAAGATTTCTGGTTCTAATTGGTCAAAATCTGTGGCGAATAAAGAAGGAAATGTCCCAATCGGTGTGATGAAATCAACTCAAGTCAAAGAACAAACATTGAATCCTGTATGGAATGAAACATTTCGACTGTAAGTAAATTTTCGATTTAATTTTATTACACATTGGCGGTTGGATTTATAAATTAATTAATGTCCTTATAATAAAGGTTTTTGTATTTCCCAATGAATGAAAAACAAAACGATATTGTTTTTACTGACGTTTCACTATTTAATGCTAATAGCTTTATCAAAGCATTATTGTATTAAACCGGAATTTGCAAAATCTCAGCATATATATAACAAAGAGTTAAGGGGTGAGAAAATAGACTACTTAGGTCAAGTTAAAAGCACATATTGAAAGCTAAAATACCAATGAAGATCACTAAACCAAATAACAAAGGTAATAGTACATCTGTTATGGTATCAAAATGAAGTTTACTAACTTGATCATCGTTCGTGAGTCTGGGGTCATTTTTCGTTGTCAAGTTAGTCATTTGGCAAAGGTAACAAAATCAAGTGTAGATTGTTGGATTTGATCAGTGTTTAAAATTATAAAGGCAGTGTGTGTTTACATAGTGAACTTGCATATCATATTCGTGTTGATTTTGTCACTTCATGGGGGAGGGAGGTGTTGTAACCTGGTCAGTTTCTGTTTTAGTCCATCATTCCTATTCAGGCAATTTGGATTCCACTTGATATGAAGTGCTTCTGATATTAGACGTTCTTTATGATTTCTGAAATCTTTTTTCTGGATTATTTCAATATTGTCAAAATCAGTTTTGTGACCTGATTCTATTGCATGTAGACCTATGGCTGATGATTTTTCAAGTTTTTCCAGTTTAATTGGATTTCTCGGTGGTCGAACAGGTGCTCTACGGTGTTCATTTCTTCTGATTTTGATTTCTCGAGATGTTTGTCCGATGTATATCGCATCACATTCCAAGCATTTTATTTTATAGACACAATTAGATAGAGAATATTTAGGGATCTGGTCTTTTATATATATAATTTACATAAATAATTAATGTCCTCTCTTTGTATCGGACTTTCAACTAGTAACATAACCCAAGACGTATTAAGAAGAGTGGTGAAGTTGGAATGGTAGAAGACAAGAGGCTTGGTAAAGGAATGTTTCTTTGGAAATTAGTATCTCTATATAGCAAAATTATGTGCACCTTATCTTCAAATCATCATTTGCACAGATCTTCTGTGTTGTGCTGCTTTTGTCCTTTGTACTGTGTTTTCTTGTCTTCCTTTTCATGTCTCCTGCGTTTCACCGCAACGTTGAATAATTTGCTTTCGTTGACGTCAAATCTATCTCTCCACTATTTGATATTTTTACGCCGATGGATATCTCTTTATACAGATATATATATACTACTGATAAATCTTATCAGCAGCATACGCCACACAACTACACTGACGAAATATATTGCTTGCGTTAAAAAAGTATTGTTGTCTGTCATCAGAAAATCACTGTTATAAATAAATTACACTATGTAACTGAAAGTACATTGTGTTTTATATAGACTTCTATTTTAGTTTGAGACTTCTAACAAGACAACATCATTTGACATCATAAGAATTTTCCAGAAAGACATTTTAGATTACATTAAAATGTAAAATGGACGGAGAAATAAAGACATAAAATAATCCAATAGACTTATTACGTCATAAACAAAATCTCTATTGTCAGTTGCCACACCCTTTCAAGAAATGTTAGTGTATAAAATTCATGGCTGTTTAGAAAAAGCCTA